CTTGGAGACAATTTCTCCTCTCCTCTTCAGTCATCGGTGAGCTAGCACACTTTGCCACACATCGTTCTTCGTCTTCTTTGGTTTGGCAAACTAGATGCTTCCAAGGCACATCCAGTGTTATCATGAGACCTTGTTGTTCCATCAGAGTGAAGGTGGTAAAAACTGCTACAAACTAGCGGTTGGAGTGTGAATTCCACCACAAAATAATAATAATTCAACACTAAATATTGCAGTATTGCAGTGTATTGCTATTTTCTTACATCCCTACAAATACACAACAGTGTCCCCATCCTTTCAATGTTCTTTGCTGGAGCTGACCAGCCTTCAGAACAAACACCAACATGCTTGTGCAAATGCTCCCCTAGCAAAAACGACACAGTTGGAACCATGAAATAGAGGTGCTTGTAACATTTACTGGCCACTGTGGACCAGATGGCAGACATTTTTAGCAACAGTGTACACAATTTTCCACAGTCTTATTGGGGAAATGATGACCATCCTGCACAGAGTGATTCATTTCCATTAGACAGAAGAGATGGAGGAGGTTGGGGCAGGCTCTGCATGCCTCACTGGCAATAAGCATTCTTTTGCACTGCTGGTGCAAATGATCGATGTCACATCTGGATTTCCACACCTGGGGAACCACATAAAAAGTCCTACATTAACAGGAAACTGTTACCCTCTATTGTGCTACAGGGCATCTGTGATGCCACAGGCCCATTTCTGGATGTGTACAATTGCAATTCAGGATCTGTCCACGATGCACTTGCCCTACGGAGATCACCAATGTACAAACAGGCCCTGTATGCACCAGCAGGCTTCTTTCTCTTGGGAGATGGAGAATACCCATCAGTTCAGCACCCACAAATAATTTTAACACATGTGTAACAGATTTCCCTGTTACACATAGAGCAAAAACCTTACTTCACGTTTGACATTTAAAAGTGTGTTATTTAAATGTTGTCGACAAGTTTCTAAAACAACTCTACAACTGTGCCCTTTGAGTAGTTGCCCTCTCCCT